GAGAGAGAGAGAGAGAGAGTCAGCTCGGTTTTCTGCTACGGTCAGCAGTAGTTCCCATTTCCTTTTTGTTTGTGTCAGCTAGCAGAGCTGCCACTTCTAAAGCAAGAATAGACATACAGCTGACAGAAACTACCAAAAAGATTATCTGCATTAATCATTAAATCCCAAATCTGCAAATTTGATCACAAAAAATGTGATCACATACTGAACACCATCTCATAAAATGTGAAATGGTTCCAGACTTTATTTATTGTTAAGATTAGCTTCACAAAACGTATTGACGTCACTTTGAACCACCACTTACTGGACATCTTTGAATCCCTTTTTGTTTAGACCAAGCATTCACACAACCCACCTTTCAGTAGACACTGAATTTTACTACAACAAGTCAAACAACGCGTCGACCCACCTGTCCAAGATGAGTCCATGTGGGATGTAGACCCTCTCCAGGTCGGAGGCATAGTGCTTTGGTATGCAGAAAAGGTCCAGGTCATATCCCTGCTCCTCATCACTGATCTGAAATAAAACACGACACAAAAAGGAGTTAAAAAAATATCTCAAGAGTATTACCTAACATGGGAGCATTCATCTGATACAGGGCAGGAAGAGGTCAGTGGTGGTCTGCTTTCCCACCGACTCCCTCCATATATTCTCCTGCCTCACACAATCAGTTAACAATGCTTGATTCTGTACGGTTTAACCAGCAACAGGCAGTTGTCAGTGGTGGTAAATACTACTTTAACTCTTAGAAAGAGGAATCTTTCCATGTTAATCATCATTACAGTGTCAGTGAATTCTTTCCTTTTGCCACTACTGAAGCTCTCTAATAAGTTAACATGTTGTCCAAATAGCGAGATATCAACAACTGAGAGCTCTTTGCAGAAATCCCATAAGATGCCTAATTCTATAAAATGGTTACAAGTATTTCTTATATTTTGTGAAATCAAATTTCCTGCTCTAGCACAACTGCTTGCCACATGAACCCAGACAACATAAGTGGTATCATGTGACAGCTGGGAAGCAGGGGCATAGCTCGAGGTGCTGTGGGAATGATGTGAGGGACCATACCACACTCAAAAGTATTTGGAACGGTGCAGAACTCGGACCCTCCCAAAGTTAACGCAATCGCTTTATTAACCACCGGATTACAAAGTTTGCATACTTACATCATGTGGTTGGACTGTTTGGGCTACACCCTTTCAAATCCAAATAATGGCGATTATGATACTGAGCAGATGTCAGTGTGGTGACATAATCTGGATCCCTATCTTCCACTGTTGGCTTATTGCCTGTTACTTAAGGTACAAAGTAGTAAAACACACACACACACAGAGAAAAACCAACTTGTGAGGCTAGTCTGAGGTCAGTGTCGGGGCTACAAACAGTGTCTCAAACAGAGTCCATGTTTGGCAACAACACTACACTTTGCAGCTAATTCAATTTAAAACGTGACACAGGAAACAGATCTTCCACTGTCTTTTAATGCGGTTTTACCAAAATGTGCATTTAGCTTTATTACAGCAAGTGGTTTCTGCCAGGCTGCTGGCCAGAGTTCATCACAATAAAACACACTGGCTTCCAAATGCTGGAAATGTCCTGGAAAATAAGAATCATTCCAGTATAGAGGATATCGTAGGCGAATCAACTTATCTATAATATGTAATAAAAAACGCACACAGATCCCATGAAGAATGATAAAAAAAACACTTTCTGCTCCTAAAAA